CCCCCTTTTTTGCCAACTACTGTTTTATGTTTATTGCCCTTTCTTTCACCCAAGTTAAAGCTACTTGACTTCTGCTCTACTTGGAAGTTCTTTAACTGCACTATTCCTACTTTTTTCTTTACGATTATCCTCTTTACAAATTGATACATCTGGTTTCCTATTTTCAGTCTTAAAATTTACTCTGGATACTTCTGTATCTGGTTCTGACTTTTGGGTGAGGTTGTCATGTATGTTAATTTCAGATTGCTGTCTGCTGTTGTTGGTTTTATTTCTGTAGAGTTTTCTTAGTATTTCTTAGAAGGTTGGCTTGGTTTTTACAAATTCCTTTAATTTCTGCCTATCTGGAAATGGCCCAATTTTGCCTCAGTATCTGAGCGACAGTTTTTCTAAGTATATGAATCTTGGTTGGCATTCCCCATCAGAGTTTTATGTATGTCACCCCATTGCTTTCTATCCTACATGGTTTCTGCTGAGAAGTTAGACTTAGTATTACTGCCTTTCCTTTGTTGGTAACTTGCACTTTTCTGAGCTGCTCTCAGGCGTCTTTTGTTGTGTTTGGTTCTAGAACATTTGATTATGATATATTGTGATGCCTTTCTTTTGAGGTCTCTCCTGTAAAGCTTTGTTTGGCTTCTTCAGTATATTATCTTCTTATTTTCCCTAATGTTGGGAAAATTTCTTTCCAACACAGCTTCAACTTTTTTTCTTTGCTATTTGTTGTTTCTTCCTGTTCTGGAATTTAAAATATGTACAAGTTCTTCCTCTTGATGGTATCTCCCATAATTCTTAAGCTTTCTTTGGATTATTTATTCCTTTTTCAAAAATCGTTTTCTAGCAGATTAGTAATGAGAGATTTATGTTGAAATTCACTAATTCATCCTTCCATGATTCAATTAATATTTACTTCTGAAATCCTAGTATTAACCTTTTTGATTTCTATTTTTTTTGTTTTTGTATAGCTTCTATATTTACATCTGTTCTTCCATTTGTAATTGTACTTGTGGTAGTTATATAATCTGGTGTCAAAAAAATCTGGTGTCAGTTTGAGGATTAAGAGTGTAGGGGTGGAGTATAGGGTGTCAATCAGGATATTCTGCTCACTCCCTTGGAGACTCTCTACTGACAAGGCTGACTCCCTGTGAGACATCCCTGAGGAGAAGCCACATCGATCTACCCTGATGCAGCCAGAACTCTGGACCTGGGGAAGCCACATGGAGACCTCCGCTAGCGCTGGGAAGCTTACAACGCCACTGGATCCAAAGACTTTCTAACCACTAGCCTGTGCTTGTCCTGCATTCGGCATCATTGAATGTGTTCTGTTCCAAAGAGGACTTTATAGATTAGTATTGGATGTATGAGCTAATATTGGACTTATGGGCTTGGTCTGGACTGGGTTGGGATGCTTTCTTAATGTAATTACCCTTTATATAAAACTCTTTCTTATACACATATGAGTTTCTATGGATTTGTTTCTCTCGTCTACTCGGGCTAACACAGTACTGTTTATCTGAATTCTTCTGAAGTTCTCTCTTTTTTTTTTCTTTACCTGCTTGTCTTCTCTCTGCAACTCTCTTTATCTTTATTGAAAGTCCTTATATGTTGTTCTTTTGATTTCCTGATGAGGTATTTCTAATGATATTTAATCTTAAGGAAGAGTTTTAGGCTCTGTATTTTGGTTAATTAATGGAGTCATTCTATTTTGTTTCTTCTTGTGCACTGAAAATGTCTACTTTCTTCAAGGCATTGTGTTTTATTTTATTTGTAGTCAATGCTGGTGTGTTTTTAGGCCTTCATTACCTATTTCCTCATTGTTTCTATAGCATAGTTGAGGGTGGAATACTCAACACCAGTGTTCGGTAATATCTGTTGATGATTAGATCGTGCAAGAGTGGGTAGTGGTCCTTGCCTATTGGGTGGGGCTGTAGAAGCAGTTTTATTGCCGAAGGTTATTTATTCTTGGATGTGACAAGATAAAACAAGAAATAAAAAATGAGAAAAAAGACGAAACAACAACAAAAAGAAGCAGCAGCAAATGATATAGAAAAATGAACACACAATGGAAATCAGCAACAAGAAAAAAGAATTTAGTAAGTAATAAAAAGGAAGAGAAAAAGAAAGACAAAATACCATTAGCAAATTTAAGGAGAGGGGGAAAAATAAAGACTAGTGAAGAAAGAAGAAAGGAAGAAAAACAATAAAAAACAGGAAAGCATAGAAAGAAAGAACAAAAAAGGCAGGGAGAGTAAAGAAAAAAATACAACAAAATAAAGCAAAACCAAAAAGGTGCTATATCTGTGACATGGCTCTGGGAAGAGAAACCGGCCCAGATGGGACAGGGCACCTAGGGTGGTTGGCATCTTCTGCTAGCCATGGGTGCTCATGGGATGGGGCAGTGCGTGTTGATGAGGGGAAATATTTGGTCCTAGATGGAGCACCTGTGGGCCGAGATGTTGTCTCAGGTTAGGGCACCTATTCCAGAAGTAGCTTGTGCTGGTTCATAAGGTGGTTCAGGTCAGGTCCTTGTTATCAGTAAGAACTCTCTTCTGAAGTAGAGAGGGCACCTGGGTGTAGGGTGTCTAGTTATAGAAGGAATTTCTACCTGTCTCGTTGTGGGCAGTCTGATTTGGGTGAGTTCAAACTCCTCCAAATGCTAGAATAGTACACCTGGTGCATGACCCATGACAGCAAAAATTGTGGGGATGAGTTAAAGGGTTGCATAGGCTGCTGAATGGTCATGCTTCAGGTCACCAGAAGAGTGTGGGTACAAGGGAGAATCACACCTTTCTTATTTCCCAGCCATTGATATGTGTGTATATTGTCAGGCTGCTGTCTTGACTGAATGTTGCTTACAAAGGTTCAAGATGGCCATGCTGCATAATGCTAACCAACAATTCTCCTATTGGTCTCTCACTGCTTTTGTTCAGCTTCTTTGTCTAGTTTGTATTCAATTCACTTCACACCCCTTTTCTTTTGAAGCTCATATTTCTGTATCTCTTTCTTTTCGTCTCTCTGTCTTTGTATAGAGGGCCTGTGTAGTGTGTCTACCTACTCTGCCATCTTGTTGGATGTCCCCAGTCCTTTTTAAGTGAATTGAAAAGTTCAGAGACTTAAGGCAATTTGAGTGGAAAGTCCTAGAAATTTTTATGATTTATCTCTAAACGTTTACATTTAGTCTGACTCTAGTTATTTCAACTAATTAAAAATTAAAAAAGAAATTTGCTCAGCCTTTTCTCATGTTCACCTTGGTATTCAGTAGTTTTGACATTTGAGGTCATGTGTTGTTGTTTTCCTGTACATTTTATTTAACAAATTGCTATAGAAGATAGAACTGTCATAAACAAGTGTGGGAACTAACTCTACAGATCATGACATGGGTGTATGCTATCCAGAAGTGCCTACCTCCCTGCACTGCAGAGCAGCTCTAAGCATAAGCTGAGTATTAGGGTATAAAGAACAATTCAAGTAGTTCATGGAAAAATGGAATGAACAGATATTGTAATTTTCTCATGAGGTTTAGGAGGCCCTCATAGATATCCATGGGTTCTTTATGTGAACTTCAGTTTAGAGTGTTTCTAATCATTACCAGTTGGTGTTGAATCTATTCTGACTCAGGGTAACTCCATGTGTGTTAGCATAGCCGTGCTTCAAAGAGTTCGTAATGGCTGGTATTTCAGAAGTGCATTACCAGGCCTTTCCTCTGAGGCTCCTCTGGGTGGACTCAAACTGCCATTCTTTCAGTTAGCAGCCGAGTGTGTGCCTTATTTTTACCACTTATGGACTCTAAAATTTGTGCTTATAGTTAATACATTTACGGCTGGATTAATTTTTCTTAATTTATTTTTTAGCGTTTCTGTACTACTGAAGGATATTTCAGAAAATCTGTGTTCATTGAAGAAGATAATACTTGGTTCTACTAACACTGCAACAGAACGGATGCCTAACAGTAATTCTGACTTGTCATTGGAAGATCCAGCTTCATCTATAATACAACAGGAAGACAAAAAAGAACATAAAATGCTTGCTGAAGTGAAAGAGGACACGTGGAACACCCGACTTGATCATTTAATTAAACCTGAGAGAGAAAGTGTACTTGAAGATGATGCGAAACAAGAAGAAGGTGGATATGAAGTTGGAACGGAAAACAATAAATTGCAAGCTAATTCCAAAAGAGATTGTTTGATGTCATTAGACATTACGGAATATGAACTCCGACTCTTGGAGCAGCAGGCTGAAGAAGAAAACATCAGTGATGCTATTTACATAGCCTCTGAGGTACTAACTAACTAAAGAGAAAAGAAGGTTTCATTCATGGGGGGAAGGGTTGGAAAAAGGCTTTGTGCATGTGCGTGTAGAACAGTGGTTCTCAACCTTCTTAATACAGTTCCTCGTGTTGTGGTGACCCCCACCCCCAGCCATAAAATTAATTTCATTGCTGCTTCATAACTGTGATTTTGCTACTGTTATGAATCCTAATGTAAATTGTAATGTGTTTTCAGATGGTGACCCCTGTGAAAGGGTCATTCAACCCCCAAAGGGGTTGCGACCCACAGGTTGAGAACTGCTGGTGTAGAAGACCAGTCGTAAATTGCGAACCTTGCGGGCCATGCTGTTGCTGTTGCAGCTGCTCACCTCGGCTATTATAGGGTGGAAACAACCATAAAAAATGCAAACAAATGAGTGTCTGTTTTCTAATAAACTTTGATTGACAGAAGTAGGCAGTAGTCTGGGTTTGACGTGTGGGCCATAGCTTGCCGCTCCTGACTTCAGAGTCGCATAACGTGGTGGACTGGAATATAGACTTTGCTGTGATTTGCTCGTGTTCCTTTTCTTTCTTACATGTTACGCTTACTAGATTCCCTACGTGTTTGAGGGTTTCCTACACATCTACGAGTGTTTACTTGTTCAAACTTGTTTTTTGAGTGTAGTTTCTATTTCTTACTACAGAATTTCTTTGCTTGGTATCTGGAAAAGGCTTCTAACTAACAACTGATATTTTTGCTTCACCCTGATCTTTACTGTCACCCAGAGAATCTGTAACATTTGCATTATTAATTTTCCTCTCAATTGGTTATTACGTTCTATTCTTCCTCAACTAAAGGGCTAGATTTCTGATTATTATGTTCTATTAAATTAGTGTGATTCATGATACCGTGCTTTGTTTCTTCCAAGTTAACTTTATATTTTGAAATAGGGAATTTATAAGTGAGGAATCAGTATCTTTTAACATAAAACAAATAATGAAAAGGAAATAATAAAACAATACAGTTTTACCTCACTCACTTTTTCATTAGTTTATAAAAATTAGAATTCCTCTGTTTCGTAGAATTTCACATATTTTTGTAAGAAAATTTTAAAGCATTCGATTTTGAATATTTTAATAGAATGATTTTCTCTTAAATTTTGTAATAATTCTAAAATCTCAGTATTATGAGAAATTCTCTTTGATTCTGGTGTCTGTTAGTAATCATTTTTATTGGCATATAAATACATTTTATTAAACAAATTGTTCTCATGTCAACCTTTTATAAAATAGATTCTCCTTACAGGGAATATCTGTAGCTACTTATGCATTATCTTTTAGTGCCCTACTAAGTACAGATTTAAAACTATTTCTCTATTTTTATAAATTTATGATCAGGCTTTTATGATCTGACTGGTGTTTGCTACCCTAGTGTTTTTGTTTTAACATAATTATTTGTCAAGGTGAAATTGACATGGGCATGTAATTAACCATTTAAAAGTGTACCGTTCGATGGCATTTAGTGCCTTTGCAATTTTATTCAGTGCCACTACCATCTCGCTTCCACTTTCAGAACTTTTTCATCATCTGGGAAGAATACCCTGTACACTTTAGTATCTCACTGCCATCAAGTTGATCCCCTTTCAAAGAGACCCTGTAGGGCAGGGGAGAACTGTTGCTTTGGGTTTCTGAGACTAGCTTTTCACAGGAGTAGAAAGCCTTGTCTATCTTCCTAGGAGTGGCTGTTGGCTTTGAACTGCTGACCTGTGATTAACAACCCAGTGTGTAACCCATTATACCACCAGGGCTCTTTCACTTCCGATTCCTCTCTTCCCTCATCCTTTGGGAATTGCTACCCTGCTTTCTGTCTCTTTGCATTTGCCTGTTTTGGATTTTCCATATAAAAAGAATCAGTAACTGTGTGACCTTTTGAATTTGGCTTTTTTCAAGTTGTTGTTTTCCAGGTTTGTCCAAGCTAAAGCATGTATCAGAACCTTATTTAATTGTGTGACTGCATAACACTACTGTATTGTATGTGTCTACCACATTTTGTTTATCTATTCATCTGAGTGTTTGGATATTATTAAGAAAGTTGCTATTAACATTTATGTACAGGTTTTAGTGGGGACCTATGTTTTTATTTCTGTTGAGTATGTGGAATTGCTAGTTCAAATGGGAGTTAAATGTTTAACTCTTGGAGAAATCACTGAACTGTTTTCTTTCCATTTTTGCTATGTTAATTACTAGTATGTTTCTTTGTTCTTTAAGTCCCTATTTAAAATTTTAAAGTAATTTTCTCTTCTATAAATTTATTTAAAACATTTTTCTTTAATTTTTTTTCTTTTTTCAATCATTGGTTTTCTTTGTATTTGATCTTTGTTATTGTTGGGTTGCTTACTTATATAAGATAGGCGTGGGAAGCAAGCTCCAGGATAAAGCAATGGGACCAATGGTCCCGGAGGGACTGGGGGGAGAAGGAGGTGGGGGAAGGGAGCAGTGAGCAAACAATGCTATAGACAGAGAACAACCAGGGAATTAAAATCAACAACAAGGAGTACATAGAGATCCTAGGGGTGTTGGAGCAACAGTAGTCTAGCTGAGAGGAATTGCTAAAAGGTAGAAGTAGAGTGAGCATGATGGTGGGATAGGAGAAAGGTGAAAGGAAGCAGAAGAACCATCTAAAGCAAAGATGGATAGAGATATAAGCATAGGTGTGTACATAGGTTAATACATCAATTAATAAAGTTGGAGGTATTGACCCATGTACCTATATTTAGATGGTAAGACACTGAGGTTGTGGATGGACTTCGGACTCTGCTCATGTCCTCCCTCAATGCAAGAACACTTAGTTCTACCACCCTGGCATTCTGTGATGCTCACCCTCCCGGCACAATCGCTGAAGACAAAATGGGTGCATAAGCAAAAGAAGTGAAGAAAGCAGATGGTGTCTGGCTAGCAAAAGATATAGCGTATGGGGGCTTAAAGGCTTGAAGATAAAGAAGCGGCCATCTAGAAGATATGGAAGGAGCACACCAATCTGTGCAGTCAGGACTGGGTAACAGGCACCAGAAGACCCATAACAAACAAAAATAACCATTGCTGAGAATGAGGGGGTTTGCCCATCTGAGACAATAGCACATCCCTCACAGAAGGGTCACAGGGAAGGGTTGAGTCACTCGGCGTGCAGTAAAGCACTGATGAAACACACAATACTACTCTGGTTTCACCCTCTACTACCATGACTCTAGTTCTGCCTTTCACTGCAGGCTAGACTGGAGCATGTGCACAGGTACAGATAAGATATAAGAGCTCACGACACATGGAATCCAGGAACAGGAATGGGAGTTGTGTTACCCAAAGGGCAGGGGGAAAGTGGGGAGAAGAGGGGAAGAAGGGGAACCTGGTCATAATGATCAACACATAACCGGTCTCTCTACCCCCCACCAGGGGGACAAGCAACAGAAAAACCATGGGGAGAGGGAGACCGCAGTCTGTGTAACATAGGAAAATAATAATTTATAATTTATCAAGGGGCCATGTGGCGGGGTGGGGGAGGCAGGGAGGGAAAAAAGAGCTGACACCAAGGGCTCAATAGAAAGCAAATATCTAGAAAATAGTGATGGCAACATAGGTACAAATGTGCTTGATACAATTGAGGTCTGGATTGTTGCAAGAGCTGTAAGAGCCCTCAAAATGTTTAAAAAAGCAAACCAAAAAACTTGGTATTTTGAAAGTCAGTGAAGGCTATACTTTCCCCCCCTACTTCCATTTTAATATTAGGCATTTTTGTTTGGGTTTTCCTCTGTATTATTTTTTCTTTATGGATTTCTAACCCACTTGATTTCTGGGTACCGTCAATTTATTGTGAATGTTCCTCAAATTTGAACATTGACAATAAAACTCAAGTAACGTGTTTGATACTTTTTCAAATATCTAGGTCTTATAAAATAATTAAAGTCCTTATTGCAAAGTAGTTTGTAATGCAATTCAAATCTAATCCTCCACTATCTTGCTTTGATACCCTACTTTTCCACATTTCCAAGGAGCCCTTATTGAAAAATCCAGTTTAATATCATTTAACTAAAATTGGATTTGTCTTTTTAACTTAGTTTTGCTGAAGGTTAATAATTAAGCCTATATTTTCTTTCCCTACTTTCATTTTAATACTAGGTATTTTTGTCTGGATTTTGACTTGCTACTTTGTATCTCATTTAGAGTGTGTGATTTTATTTCTTGGCTGTTTATTTTGTGTACATGTGTGCCTTCCTACCTACCTACCTGTATCTGTTGATAGCATTTTTCTGTCATATATATATGTAAATGTAATTATCTGTTAGAGAAGTAGGAAGTTTTCAAAAGATATCTAGAATATAAAACTTTTATTTTGTAGAGAAGAGAGTGTGTGGAGTTACTTCTACTGAAAGCTAATGTTTAATATTTTTTGTTGTTATAGCATTTATCTTCTAAAAATAAGGAAGAGGGTGTATCTTATGTAATAGAAAGTGATGAAGATTTAGAAACAGAGATGGTTGAGGTAAGTTTGAAACTATGGAAAAATTTCTTCATGAAACTTTAATTGAAGTAAAAAATTACCTACTTCTAAGCCAGCTTTCAGCCTAATGGAGTTCTACTAATTATATAACATTAGATTTAATATTTTCTGATTGATATTTTATAGAATGATGTTAATTGATTTATATCATCTGTGTTCCCTCTTATGTTATTTGTTTTAAAAACTTATATAATTGTGCATTAGGTATAATTTAATTGTGAATAAGATTTACAGAGCAGATCATCAGTTTGACATTCAACAATTCATACACATCTAGTGCATTCCCTTCAGTGTACCGTCATGTATCCCATTTTGTCCTTCTGTTTCTTGGTCCCACTCCTCCTCTTTTCCTAACACCGAAGTTTGTTTTTGGGTAAAGGCTGCCCTTTGTGTCTTACATGGTTGATTATTCTAACATGAGAGAGAGTTCAGCTTCATACCTGCAAAGGCCTAAGGGCCATAAATTTGGGCCCTTAGTTGATGTGACCAGTAAACTGTTTTCTCTTATGATTTTGAGTATGTTCTACATTTTTTCTACCACTCTTTCCTGGACCTTCTAAGGTAATCTTTTAAGAGCGTTTGCAGTAGTAGCTAAGCACTATCTAGTTATTCTGGTCTCAGGGTTGTAGAGACTGATGTTTGCATGGTTCATTAGTTCATTGAACTAATTATTTCCATGTATGTTTTGATTTTCACCACTTCTATTTTCTGGATGAGGAAAGATAATTAGTTGCACCTTAGATAGCTTCTCATTAGCTTTAGAGATCCCTGTCACTAAATTGGGCCTCCACTCAAGTACTCCCTCAATGCAAGAATACTTTGTTCTATTAAACTGGCATTCCAAGATGCTCACCTTCCCGACACAATTGCTGAAAACAAAGCGGGTGCATAAGCAAATGTGGTGAAGAAAGCTAATGGAGCCTGGCTATCAAAAGATATAGTGTCTGGGGTCTTAAAGGCTTGAAGGTTAACAAGTGGCCATCTAGCTCAGAAGCAATAAAGCCCACATGGAAGAAGCACACCAGCCTGTATGATTACGAAGTGTCAAAGGGATCAGGTATCAGGCATCAAAGACCCAAAAATCATATCATTGTGAATGAGGGGGAGTGTGGAGTGAGAACCCAAAGCCCATCATCTGTAGGCACCTGGACATCCCCTTATGGAAAGGTCGCGGGGAGGAGACAAGCCAGTCAGGGTGCAATGCAGCAGCGATGAAACATACAACTTTCCTCTAGTTCTTAAATGCTTCCCCCCCCCACCCCTCACTATCATGATCCCAATTCTACCTTACAAATCCGGCTAGACCAGAAGATGTACACCGATAAAGATAGGAACTAGAAACACAGAGAATCCAGGACAGGTGATCCCTTCAGGACCAGTAGTGAGAGTGGCAATACTGGGAGGGCAGAGGGAGGGTGGAGTGGAAAGGGGGAACCGATTGCAAGGATCTACATATGACCTCCTCCCTGGGGGATGGACAACAGATAAGTGGATTAGGGGAGACATTGGACAGTGTAAGATATGACAAAATAATAATTTATAAATTATCAAGGGTTCATGAGGGAGAGGGTAGCGAGGAGGGAGGCAGAAAAACGAGCTGATGCCGGGGGCTTAAGTGGAGAGCAAATGCCTTGAGAATCATGAGGGCAATGAATGTACAAATGTGCTTTACACAATCGATGTATGTATGGATTGTGATGAGTTGTATGAGCCCCCAATAAAATGATTAAAAGAAAAAAAGATCCCTGTCACTACTCACCAAAGTAGAATATCAAATATCCTCTTTGTGAGCTATGTTATGTTAATTGACCTTAATGTACTGTGAGATTATGGTGCTGTGCATATTTCACTTTCTTTCAAGATTTTTGTGGAATATGAGTAATGATTAAGCGCCCCACTATTGGAATAGATTTTTTTTTCTTCCTGTTCTGGTGCATTTCCTTGTTATTTGTCATTCTAGTTTTATATATCTAATATATATATTTACCTTTCTTTTGATTTGTTTTATTTACTGTAGACATTTTCTCTTTATTTTGTGTGATTTTTTCTAAATATATTGGTGGATTGAATAAATTAGAAACCTAACTCTTCTCCCCTTTTAGAACCTGCCCTAGTTGTAATGATTACTTAAAAAAAATTAGTCACATTTGTTTAATGGGTAGTTAAATGAAAAGAGAAAATGAGAACTGCCATTTAATAACTTATTACTTCTCAGTACTAGAATTTACAGCTGATACAACTTAAATATTCCAGCATGCTTATAACTGGTAATCTTCATTTAAGTCAGCGGTTCTATTGGGTCTCTACTCAAGTACTGCCTCAATGCAAGAACACTTTGTTCGATTAAGGTGACATTCCATGATGCTCACCTGCCTGACACGATCACTGAAGACAAAATGGGTGCATAAGCAAATGTGATGAAGAAAGCTGATGGAGCCTGGCTTTCAAAAGATATAGCGTCTGGGATCTTAAAGGCTTGAAGATAAACAAGCGACCATCTAGCTGAGAAGCAACAAAGCCCACATGAAAGAAGCACACCAGCCTGTTTGATCACGAGGTGTCGAAGAGATCAGGTATTAGGCATCAGGCATCAAAAAAATCATGTCATTGTGAATAAGGGTGAGTGCAGAGTGGAGACCCAAAGCCCATCTGTATACAACTGGACATCCCCTTACAGAAGAGTCACAGGGAGGAGACAAGCCAGTCGGGGTGCAGTATAGTAGCGATGAAACATACAACTTTCCTCTTGTTCTTTAATGCTTCTTCCCCCCCACTATCATGATCCCAATTCTGCTTTACAAATCCGGCTAGACCATAGGATGTACAGTGGTACAAATAAGAACCAGAAATGTAGGGAATCCAGGACAGATAAACTCCTCAGGACCAACAATGAGAGTAGTGATACCAGGAGGGGAAGGGGAAGGTGGGGTAGAAAGGAGGAACCGATTACAAGGATCTACATATAACCCCCTCCCTGGGGGACGGACAACAGAAAAGTGGGTGAAGGGAAACGTCGGACAGTGTAAGACATGACAATATAATAATTTATGAATTATCAAGGGTTTGTGAGGCAGGGGGGCTGGGGAGAGAGGGGGAAAAATGAGCTGATACCAAGGGCTCAAATAGAAAGCAAATGTTTTGAGAATGATGATGGCAACAAATGTACAAATGTGCTTGACACAATGGATGTATGCATGGATTGTGAGAAGAGTTATATGAGCCCTCAATAAAATAATAAATCAGCGGTTCTCAACCTGTGGGTTGCGACCCCTTTATGGGTCGAACTGTATTAAAGGGTCGCAGCATTAGGAAGGTTGAGAACCACTGATTTATTTAAATAAGTTTAGGAACCTAAACTTATTTCTCCACTGCCCCCTTTTCAGGAATAAAAAAACCAAAACAACAACTCAGTATCTTCTTGGTAATTAAAAACTTTTGCCCTTTTGCCCATAATTCAGGATAAAGTATAGGTATCTGCTTCTGCAGTTTGCTGTGATTGTACCAGTTTCCCTCAGGGGCAGAATCACTGACAGGGGCAGAATCACTGACTTTGAGGAACACGGATTTAGATGGGGAAATCAGAAATCGTTAAGTCAAAATAAAAACAAGTGACTTTATTCCACGATTTTAAACAAATGACTTTATTCCACAATTTTAATATTATTTCCCTAAAGTCCTGTTTTTGTTTGAAGATCCCAGGGCACATGTACAGCTGATTTGTAGTTTAAACTTTAAGTAGTGTGTGACTGATATATATATAAGTTAGAGAAACTTACTACAAAAATAAAACTGAAACAAACTCATTGGAGCTTGGAAAAAAGATTTCAATAATGAAAAATGTTTTAAGTTATCTAAATACATAACTTATTATAGCTTTCTCCAGGGGCAGTTCATTGTTTGGTATTAATAAACTCTGTTTATGCTGAAATATCCATCTTTGGCCTTGTGCCTTAGCAACTATTCTTGCATTCATACTTTATATGGAGCACACATGTTCTTTTGTGGTATTGCTTGCACATCTGCTGGCTTTGAACGAAATTGTAGGCTCTGTTAATAGTACTTCTAAAAAAAAATAGTACTTCTTTTGTGTTTGATGGAAAAGATGCTACAATGTCAGTGGTTTTGCTTTTAAAATTTGTTTTAAATTTTCAGGTTTTAGAAAACCTAAATAGTGACATGGTACAGCCAACTCATTCTAACTGCTTAGAAATGGAAAGGAATCTTGATCTCCCTACTGATGAAAATGAAGATGAAAATGAAGATACCATAGGGGGAGAAGATGATGAGGAAGGTAAGTACTACAATATATTTGAAATGACCCACCTCTAATACTGCCACCGATTTTATTTAAGTGTCGGTTTAAAAATATTTTGGAAGTCAAAGACTTTATGGCATATAATTACTATGGAATATAAAATTGTCTTTATCCGTCAGTTCTTTCATCTTCATCAAGCACAGTTTTTGTTAGTATTTCAGTAATAGAAAGAGTGTGTTGCTCGTTTAATGTGGTCATGTGAAACTTTTCTTCCTAAAATTCGTGTTTGATTTTTGTCTTAATGGAAGTCCTAAGTAATCTTTTGTTAATTACTTATATGAAATATTTTGTAAATGAGTAGCCAGCCCACATTGCTCCTGCCTTTTAAGTGCTTCCAATTTAAACAACAAAATGCAATTGGGGGGGCGGACTTATCAGGCTGTGTATCAAAGCAGTAGTAAAGAATGTATTACATGAACTTACTATATTATTTAAGAGTAAACATTAGTGTTCTTTATTGCAAGTTGTGAAATTAAGTGGAACTGTCACTAGAAGCTAGTTTTATCAATGATATATTGTGGCAATTTCCGAAAATATGTTAATGGGTGAAGAAAACATATGAATATGTTGAAACATATTCCCCCCCTTTGTGCTAACTGTAGAAACAGTTTACTTCTATAGTTACAGTCTCTACAGCTGAGAAATGCAGTGGACTTTTGTTTGGTGATATATTGTCTTTATTCTTTGCTTTTTCCAATTCTGTCTACTCATGTACTCTCCACCTATCAAATCAGTTGGGTAAAAGTAATATAATTCCATTGTGCTACATAGTTAGGATTTGGGTCAAAAGTGAATATTTGTCTGTGGATTTCATTTGTGATACTAATGCAATTTCTGACTTCCCTTAATTGAAATTTGATTATATTATAAAATCTGGCTTATTGCTTGCTATAATTGCTTCTCAAACTTAGAAGTATAGCAGGTTTCAAAACATTGGTTTTTCATTGCTGGTCACGTGTGCACCACTGCAAGAGTCTACTCCGTAGTGCCAGGTAATGATCAGACGTTTTCCTGGAGCCATGTCTGCACAAAAAGCCCAAGTCCACTGCCATTGAGTTCATCCCAACCCAACGCAGCCTCAAAGAACCAATGGAACTGCCCCTTACAGCTGAAAATCACTTTGGAAGCAGATTGCCACATCTTTCTCTTGCAGAGAAACGGTTGCGTTTGAGCCCCTTACCACTTGGTAAGAGCTTAATGCACGCATAACCCACAGTGCCACCAAGTCTCCTTGGAGGACCAGATATCTTATACTTTCTGTTGTCTACGGTGATTTTCATGTGCAGCACTAATACAGGGTTGCTTTGATTTCAGACTTCACGTTGGCACCTAACAGCAAAGCTATATGGTTGTTGTTTCCCCTCGGCACAGATTATGCCTCTGCACATCCTATTCTCTCCATTAGAAAGGCTTCTTCCCTATTTCTCTACCTACTTACCTCCTACTGAACTGTCACCATATGTTCAGCTGTCCCCCTCCTCTGAGGAGCTCCTCCTTTTTCTATGTCCCTTTCTCCCATTAGGTGTCCCACCTTCCTTTTCACGGTTACCCACGTCTATCTCAGTAGTGTGTGTATTTGTCTGTGTCTCGTCCGTACCCCCATTTTGCTGTGAGCTTCTGGAGGAAAAGAGCCCCGGTGGTGTGTTGGTTAAGCACTTAGCCAGTAGCCAAAGGGTTGATGTTTGAACCTACCACGACTCCCTGGGAAACAGAAGTAGAGGTTGGTTTCCAAAAATTTCCAGCCTTGAAATCCTATTCCACAGAGCAATTCTACATGATGGCAACCGGTTTGTTTTGCTTTTAGAAAGAATAATCTTTTCACTATACATAAGGTGTCTTGGATTAAAAAGACCGAATATAGTAAAACTATAGTACCTATCCATGTATTTTTTTTAAACAAAACCAATGAAATAAAACTTTTCTACCCTTCAAAGTAGGAATTGACTTTATGGCAGTGGGTTTCATTTCTGTAATATAGAGTACTTCTTAAAGCTGATTGCCTACTTCATTTTATTTAAAGATCATTCGGTACCAGAACCCACTGCAAAACAAGTTAATTGCCTTAAAACCTACTTTGGCCATTGCAGTTTTAAGCCGTAAGTATAATCTTAAATTACATATTTAAAAGCAACAGTGCAGCTTCATTTTACGTTACCCTTGTGCTATATTTTCTGTAAGTGACTACAAAGTTGTTTTCATGTATACAAGGGAACTTCAAAATGTTTATGGAAAAATGGCATTGAAACAAAATGGAGACTGTCTCACTCACTCACTCACTGCCTCACTCTCACTGTCTCACTGCCTCACTCTCACTGTCTCACTCTCTCACTGCCTCACTCTCTCACTCACTGCCTCTCTCACTCACTGCCTCACTCTCTCACTCACTGCCTCACTGTCTCACTGCCTCACTGTCTCACTGCCTCACTCTCACTCACTCACTCACTGCCTCACTCACTCACTGCCTCACTCACTCACTAACTCACTCTCTCACTCACTCACTGAGTCTCACTGTCTCACTGACATTCACTCACTGCCTGACTCTCACTCTCACTGTCTCACTCACTAAAAAAGAAAAACAAAAACAAAAAACAAAACAAAACAAAATGGAATTGTTCCATAAATTTTTGAACATCCTCATGTATATATAAAAGTTATTTCTGTTAATTATTTTTATATTTGAGGAAAACTAGTTTTCTTTTAGCATATACATGTCTGTGCAGGCATTAGTACGTGCATATTACTGATTTGTTTTTTTTCTTAATAAGTGTCTTGTGAATTATATTGCCTAAAGCAGGGGTCCTCAAACTTTATAAACAGAGGGTCAGTTCACTGTCCCTCAGACCCATTGGAGGGCTGGACTATAGTTTAAAAAAACCATGAACAAATTCCTATGCACACAGCACATATTTTATTTTGAAGTCAAAAAACAAATGGGGCAAAAACACCCGGCGGGCCGGGTAAATGTCCTCGGCAGGCCATAGTTTGAGGACGTCTGGCCTAAAGCATGCTGATTGCTGTAATAGAAAACCATACGACAGCAGTTTTAAGAACAGTGGCATTTCATCTCTTTGAACACTAATGTTTCTATGTCTACAGAGTACTTTTTTTTGGTATAAAATTTATTTTTTAATCGTTTTATTAGGGGCACATACGACTTATCACATTCCATACATACATCAATTGTGTAAAGCACATTTGTACATTCATTGCCCTTGTCATTCTCAAAACATTTGTTCTCCACTTAAGCCCCCGGCATCAGCTCCTCGTTTTTTCCCCTCCTTCCCCCCTCCCCCCTCCCCCCTCCCTCATGAACCCTTGATAATTTATAAATTATTATTTTGTCATATCTTGCCCTGTCCAACGTGTCCCTTCACCCACTTTTTTGTTGTCCGTCCCCCAGGGAAGAAGTCATGTATAGATCCTAGTAATTAGTTACCTCTTTCCAACCCACACTCCCTCTACGGTACTCCCAGTATCGCCACTCTCACCACTGGTTCTGAAGGGATCATCTGCCCTGGATTCCCTATATTTCCAGTTCCTATCTGTACCAGTGTACATCCTCTGGTCTAGCCAGACTTGCAAGGTAGAATTCGGATCATGATAGTGGGGGTCAGGGAGGAAGCATTTAGGTACTAGAGGAAAGTTGTATTTTTCATCATTTCTGCATCGCACCCTGTCTGCCTCGTCTCCTCCTTGAGACCCCTCTGCAAGGGGATCTCCAGTGGCCTACAAATGGGCTTTGGGTCTTCACTCTGCATTCCCTCTCTCATTCACTATGGTAAGATTTTTTGTTCTGATGATGCCTTATACCTGATCCCTTTGACACCTCGTGATCGCCCAGGCTGGTGTGCTTCTTCCATGTGGGCTTTGTTGCTTCTGAGCTAGATGGCTGCTTGTTTACCTTCAA